TTTGCATACCAAACCTTTGTACATATATCAATGTGTTGATATATATATTTTTATCTTTTCAACTAACTAACTTGCATACTAATTCTGTACATATTTAAAATATCTTTCTTTCTTTTCTTTCAAAATATTTGTTTATTTGAAATGAAGGCGATAAAAACGTGGTGATTTTCTTTTAAATTGAAAGAAAATCACCACGTTTTTATCGCCTTCATTTCAAATATTATTGCGTGGCTACGTCATGTCTGATCCTAATTTCGAATATTTGTTTATCTTTAAAGTGCAAGTGTTCCTAGGGAGACATAGCGCTCTAAGTCGAAATAAATAATATTGTATATAATTAGACCTTTTTCTCTCTCAATAGCCCAAATACCATTTACAAATGAGAATTAGCTCCTCAGCACTAAATCTGTCAATATACTTGCCTGAAGGAAGGTGGGGTGATGGATCACCTCTTCACATTTATATTTCAGAAAATATTTTTAAAATTTTTGAACCTCATCACTTAAAGAAATTACTTATTGTAATATGTCAAATTATTTTTCATCATTTCAAATTTATATGAAAACTTTTTTCTCTATAATAATATTGGCACAAGCCTTCCCCTCCACCGTGGATTTCACAAAGCCTTGCAATATGGCAAAACCTAGAGAAATCGTTTATTATTCGAGATACTTTGAATTTTAGAAATTATTTGGAGAAAAATGTTCAATAATACGCTTAATTAGATTATTTTACATTAAAATATAATCCCAACTTGTCAGCCTACAAACAAAATATATGAAAATGAAATAATATCTATATATATGGTATAGACCGATATATAGGTTTCTCCGAAGAGGACATCGAATCCGATCATGTAAATGACAAAATTATTAATATTAGAAGTTGGGTAGTTCTAGAAATATTCTATAACAAATATAAACAGAGTGAACAAGCGACTATAAATATCATAGCAACAGAGATAGTAAGAAAAAAATACCTCAGCACTACAAGAGATCTCGAATGAGAGCGGTCAAGACTTTGGGCGAGATACACTGGCAATAAAATAGAATGATAAAAAGATTTACGATGGATTTTTCTCTAATGTGAAATGGTGGCATATTAGTAATCGACACAATCGTATCGAATTTCATTTATGCATCCATTCGTTATGTTGCACAATATGTCACATATTAAGGGACTGAGCTACATCTAATAAGTCAAGTCAACAATGGTCTGTGCTGGTTTTATGTTTTACTACATATTTAATGTAATAATAAGTCATATATCTTCGATAATAAAACGATCCAGAGATGATGATGAGAACTAAAATTCATATTTAAACAAAATATCTCCTTCTCTACAATCATTCACAATACCTAAGTCAGAATACACCTACAGGAATACGAAATATGGCGCACAGAAAGTTCCAACATATAAACCTGTTCCTCGACTTCAATCCGATATTCCTACAGCAGCAAAACCTTCTTATATGGACATTGGATCTTTTGTAGACTATTCAGCAATCAGCCCCCTCTCGGCCGTCAACAACTGGAATCCATTCTCAGGCTACGATACTACCAACTATAACCCTCTAGACACTCGGCCCTTAGACTATATTGTTGGTTTAGACGGGAGCTTTACCTATGGTCAATACTAGACAAAGGTCAAAGATTGAGACACTGTAGACCACACGTTGGGAGACCACTGCCATATAATATATAATGCCATCAAGATTGATCATCAGTAAAAGTAACACGTTCAATCTCCAGTCTGATATTGAATTTGATATCTAGGTTCCTCAGAGGACTACGAGAGTGATTCTGCTATTCTAGAAAATTGCTTCCCAGATCATAACGCCTGGTATAGGTCCAATATGTCTACAATGCAGTCAGGATGGTTCCAAGAGCTCACCTGACCTCCTTCTAACCAACATATGGTCAACACCGACAACACCTTTACGCGAGTTTGATTAGGAACTATACATTATCATGTATTATAATTATTGTTTTCATACATTTTTGAAAAATGAAGTGTCGTTGTGTATAATATACTATACAACAAAAAAATCGACGTACCAAGAAGCAGTTGTCCGATATATATGAAAATACGTATACAAAGAGGTTTCGACCAAACATGCAAATGATTGAAATTTGGTGGCCGATTTATGCAAAGCAAGAGCTCCAGCGCATCTGAACTGCGCATCCAGCACGATCATTCTAGACTCAATATTCGGCGCGGCACGAGCTGATTTTCAGAATTTCCGTTTAATATTTTAGCAGTACGCCTATTTCTACTGTATCAATGCCTCGCCGAAAGATTCGTGCTCATTACGAACATATGCCAGAGTTTGAAACTGGTCGTGCCATTGGATTGAAAGAGGCTGGTTGGTCTAATCGACTAATCGCGCGACATCTGTGTCGAAGTGATGCGGCTATTTGGCGATGTTGGCAAAAGTGGGTCAACAACGGAAGATTGCAACGTCAGGACGGCAGCGGTCGACCAAGGGCAACAACAGAACGGGAGGACAGAGCAATTGTCAGAATGGCTGTCGCAGCACCGGAATCCACGTTATCTACCATCCAACGTGTGACCGGCACACAAGTGTCCAAAATGACCATCAACAGGCGACTGAGAGAGCGGAATCTAAGAGCTCGCCGACCGTTACGATGCCTACGATACCGTTACGATGCCTCACACCCGTGCACCGAAAAGTCCGACTACAGTGGTGTCGTGAGCCATCAACTTGGAACTGCGCTGACTGTGGACGTATAGTCTTTAGTGACGAGTCCCGTTTCTTACTGTGTCCTGACGACCGTCGCAAACGTGTCTGGAGACGTCCTGGCCAGCGTGTGGATCCTGGCCTTACTGTCGAACACCACACAGGTCCACAACAGGGCGTTATGGTATGGGGTGCCATTTCAATTGATAGCAGGACCCCATTGGTAGTCATTCCTGGCACCCTGACAGCACAACGGTACGTTGATTACATTCTACAGCCTGTTTTGTTGCCGTTCCTCTCACATCACCCCGGGCTTACTTTTCAACAAGATAATGCCCAGCCACACACGGCACGTGTTACTATGGATTGTCTTCAATCTTGCCGAACTCTTCCGTGGCCAGCAAGGTCGCCTGATCTCTCGCCCATAGAGCACATCTGGGACGTGATGGGAAGGCGAATGCAACCATCCCGGAATGTTGACTATTTAGCCCGACAGTTGGAGACAATTTGGCAAGAAATCCCGCAGCACACCATCCGGAATCTTTATCAGTCCATGACACGCCCGGTGGCAGCCTGCATCCAGGCCAGTGGGGTCCAACGACATATTGACATTCTCAATTTGTGACAATCAAACTCTGAAATAAAACAATTAATTGTTCTGAAATTTTGATCGTTTTTTCCCCTATACATGCTCTTTAGATACACCAAATTTTGTCCTAATCTGACAACTCCTTCTCCTTGCGTCGATTTTTTTTTGTTATACAGTGTTTATGCACATATCCTTTTATAAAATGTATGGTTTTATTTTATTTGAATTTGAAGCGCTATGTCTCCCTAGGAACACTTGCGCTGTCATAAATGTATACCTTTACATTTGTCTATACATATATACGGTAATTTTAGGCCGTGAATAGAATAGTAATATTATGTTAACAATGAGAAAGAGAGAGAAAAAAGAACTGTGTACAAAAGAAAGAAGTGTCTGGCAATAGGTACAATAAGCATAATATTAATTATCCGTTTCCTAAAATATACTTGTTGCTATATATTTTAAAATATATCTACAAAAGGTATTGAATTTAATATACATTTCTTTACCTGAAATAAAAATACTTAGATCTGCTATAATTAAAATATTGTTGATTCTGTAGTCTTGAAAAACTGGGCAGTCTAGTAATAGATGGTTGAAAGTGTATCAGGCGCCACATATAGGTTAATATATATTCAGAATATAGAAATGTATTAAAAAGGACTGCGGCGTGTGATTATAAAACAAAAAGTTTAACCGCATAAGTTTCTTTTCTGTGAAAAATCAATATTTATTTCAAAGAGAAATATTTACTATTTCTAACTTTTTTGGATGAAGTATGAAAGGGTGAAAATATGAAGAGTAATGGCGAACGGAAAAATAAAAGTGTCCAGGGGCGGGAATCGAACCCACAACATTCCGCTTACCGGGCAGATGCCATGTCCACTAGGCTACCCTGGACGTATTTTTCCGTTCGTAAATAATACTTAAAGTAACTTATAATACATTATGAAGGACTGCGACGTGTGATTATAAAACAATACTTAAAGTTTCACCGCATAAGTTTCTTTTCTGTGAAAAATCAATATTTATTTCGAAGAGAAATATTTACTATTTCTAACTTTTTTGGATGAAGTATGAAAGGGTGAAAATATGAAGAGCAATGGCGAACGGAAAAATTAAAGTGTCCAGGGATGGGAATCGAACCCGCTTAAGCGGAACGTTGTGGGTTCGATTCCCATCCCTGGACACTTTTATTTTTCCGTTCGCCATTGCTCTTCATATTTTCACCCTTTCATACTTCATCCAAAAAAGTTAGAAATAGTAAATATTTCTCTTTGAAATAAATATTGATTTTTCACAGAAAATAAACTTATGCGGTGAAACTTTAAGTATTGTTTTATAATCACACGCCGCAGTCCTTTGTAATGTATTATAAGTTACTTTAAGTATTATTTACGAACGGAAAAATACGTCCAGGGTAGCCTAGTGGACATGGCATCTGCCCGGTAAGCGGAATGTTGTGGGTTCGATTCCCGCCCTTGGACACTTTTATTTTTCCGTTCGCCATTACTCTTCATATTTTCACCCTTTCATACTTCATCCAAAAAAGTTAGAAATAGTAAATATTTCTCTTTGAAATAAATATTGATTTTTCACAGAAAAGAAACTTATGCGGTGAAACTTTAAGTATTGTTTTATAATCACACGCCGCAGTCCTTTATAATGTATTATAAGTTACTTTAAGTATTATTTACGAACGGAAAATACGTCCAGGGTAGCCTAGTGGACATGGCATCTGCCCGGTAAGCGGAATGTTGTGGGTTCGATTCCCGCCATTGGACACTTTTATTTTGCCGTTCGCCATTACTCTTCATATTTTCACCCTTTCATACTTCATCCAAAAAAGTTAGAAATAGTAAATATTTCTCTTTGAAATAAATATTGATTTTTCACAGAAAAGACACTTATGCGGTGAAACTTTAAGTATTGTTTTGTAATCACACGCCGCAGTCCTTTATAATGTATTATAAGTTACTTTATTATTTACGAACGAAAAATACGTCCAGGGTAGCCTAGTGGACATGGCATCTGCCCGATAAGCGGAATGTTGTGGGTTCGATTCCCGCCCCTGGACACTTTTATTTTTCCGTTCGCCATTACTCTTCATATTTTCACCCTTTCATACTTCATCCAAAAAAGTTAGAAATAGTAAATATTTCTCTTTGAAATAAATATTGATTTTTCACAGAAAAGAAACTTATGCGGTGAAACTTTAAGTATTGTTTTATAGAAATGTATTTATTTTCTTGGATAATAAAAGCATCCACACAATGTAAATTTATAATGTTTATTTGCATTTATCAGCAAGGCCGCAGTAAGCAACATACGGGACAGAGTGATTCAACCAATTTAACGACTCAATATTGGGGTTCAAGCCGGCTATGAACTCGTGTGGGGATTGTGTGAAAGTGTTATAAAAATTCTATAATATTTAAATGTTTATGAACCCCTTGTGGGTTAGAAGATATATACTACAAAAAATTATGCCTAAATCTTTTGATGGAAAAATATTAGCGACTTTTATGTAAGGAGTTCATTGGACAGTTAGAAATATTTTCTTGAAACACATAAACATGGGAATTTATATTGAATATATATATAAATTCAAACAATTATAATGGTTATTAATAACATTTATTAATAGAATGTCCAATATTTCACAACTACAGAAATAATCATTTTTATCCCATAAAAGAAATGTATGAATTTGTGTATAACAAAGACACTTATGTAAAATTCAATAATTTTTGTAAATTCATTTTAGATTTCATTTTCTGTTTGATAAAACCAACCATTCAGTTTTAATTTTGTTTTTAGTCCTGTTATTGAATTGTATATAAAGTAAATTGTGTATAAGCTGCTAAAATGTATTTAGGCGCAAGTATCCCAAGCTGGGATATCGCGTCCGATATGTCAAATAAAATAAAAATAATGCTTATACATTCGTGATTATTCTAAGTCAAATTGAAATATAATAAAATAAAATTAGTAGAAAGTAAAGAAAATATTTGGAAATATTAATATAAATATATATAGATATATCGGAATAACTGGATAAAAAAAATATTAAAAACGCTTAAAAATAAATAACCTATTTTTTATATTTACAAAAAAAAAAAACAAGTGGTCTGACTATACATATTATTTTATATACACCAATACCTCGCTTTGCGTTGTTTCGTTTAGCGTTTTTTTCGAAGTTGCGTCGCTGCTTAATTTTTGCTGATTTTCACTGTGTGTCGTTAGATTTTCGAAGTTGCGTTGTTTTGGATTCCAGTCTTTAATTTTTTTTCCCCTAAAATATGGCAACACCTTTGTTTATGATTGCGCCTTCACATATTTTGACTTTGCGTCGTTTCAATTTGCGTCGTGTTTTTTTTTTTGAACGTAACCCCGACGCAAAGCGAGGTATGGGTGTATATTTCTTGTCAATATTCAAATATAAATGAATATTTTGACCTTACGTATTTGCATAGAAATATCAGGTATATATGTACATAAGCCTATACGTTAATTTGTTAATAGTTTAGTAGAGTGCTAATAGTATTGACCATAGGTAAAGCTCCCGTCTAAACCAACATTATAGTCTAAGAGCCGAGTGTCTAGAGGGTTATAGAACGGACTAGCACCTCCGTATTGATGGTACCTTAAGTCATTTGATGGAGTACAGTTAGAGCAGTCAGGGAATGTATTCCAGTTGGCAGTACCGTAGCCTGAGAATGGATTCCAGTTGTTGACGGAATAGCCCGAGAGAATATTCGGATTGATTGTGGAATAGTCTGCGAAAGGTCCAATGTTCATATAAGAAGGGTTTGCTGCTATAGGAAGATCGAATTGAAGTCGAGGAACAGGTTTATATGTTGGAACTTTCTGTGAGCCATATTTGACATTCCTGTAGGTGGCATCTGACTTAGGCATTGTGAATGATTGTATAGAAGGGGATATTTTGCTTAAATATGGATTATGGGTTTCATAAGGAACCTGTTGTTTTAGATATTGTTCATTATTGTATTTATCAGATGGGTAATTATTGTAGGGTAAAACTTTATTTGTAAATATGGAATTAATTTTACTGGGGACATTGAAATTTCTAGGATTGCGTTGATTTTGATTCAGCTGCCTACTATTTACAATTCTTGTATTATATCTTCCAGATGATTTAGAATTTTTATAGGTTTTTCCGATTAATTTTGGAGTGTTAATGTCAACTTTATGACTGGAGACATCTGTATTCCCTAGATTCTTTTGGTATATATAGCGATATGGGCGAGTATAAGTTTCTAAGATTTCACCAATTTTAGAATTCGAAGGTTTTTGTGATAGGTTTAGGTATATTTTCCTTTGTAACATAGAAGGTAAATTTGACCCTTTATTATTTGTATTTTTCCTTCCAGGGTTGATTTGCCGGGACATGTGTAAGGGATATTCATAGGGTATAGAAGAACGGTGATTAGAAATAAATGTTTTTCGAGGATCTGAATAGTTCTTACCAATATAATTTGGGATTAGAGAAGATGGAGTGAGGTTAGAATTCCAAAAATAATCATTTATTTTGAGTTTAGTAGGATCCTTGGTCTCTATCATCTTTCTTCCTGTGAGTTGCAAAGTTGAACCTGGCAGAGGTGAGGATTTGATCAATTTGTATTCAGACGGTTTATAACTATTCATAATAGGATTGGAGTATAAGAAGTTATCAACATTTTTTCTATAATAATCATTTTTATTTATTGGCCTTTGCAATCGATTATTAAAGTTCAATATTATCTTAAGAGGATTGTAACTTTCATAGTAAACTTTCTCAGCAGGTTCATGTGCATTCCATTTCTTATTCTGATAATTCCATCGTGAAGGATGTGTGTAATATTCGTTTAAAGAATTTGTTCCTTGATTTTCCCTATTGTAATTTTGAGCATTGTTAAAGTTATTTTCACCTGTTTTGTGATCTATTGATACTGGTTTGATTTTATTCTCTATTGAAGGGTATTGTAAGTTATAGTATTGAATGTAAGGTTCAGGATGTTTGTAAAAAGGTTGAAAGCTAGGGTGTTGATTAGTAGATTGAAATTGTGGCCAAGCTTTTGTTCTGGTTATTTCAGGAATTTGAGTAGAAATTTTTGCTTTTAATGGTTTAATTGATGATTGCATTTGTGTTTGTATAGGTGTAGGGGGGAAAAAGGAATGATAGGGAGGCATTAAGAACTGTGGCCTACGAGATGCCGTTAATGATGAAGTAAATTGTGGTTTGTGTAAATATTCATATTGAAGGTTTGGAAAGGTAGATTGATTTTGAGGCATAATATATGGAAGGTAAAATTGTTTCTTCTTCAATGTATTTGGTATTTGTGGTGAAATATTTCCATGATTAACATGATTTCCATGATTAATATTAGATAGTACCTTAATTTGATATTGATTGGGCTGCAAATACAATGTTCGAAAGGTAGGCTGTAAGAATGGTAGTTGTAATTGTGGTAGCAATTGTGCATATGAACTTTGTGATTTTAAGTTTCTCATTGGTGCTTCTAAATAAGGCTGGAATTGTTTAAATAGAGTTTGAGCTTGGGGGTTTTCTTGTGAAGGTTTATAATAAATTTGCTTTCTAGAGGAATGGAATAAAGGCCACCGTGATTGTAATTGAGGATGTATTAGTTGAGGCCATAACCGAGTACGTGTTGAATCAAACTGCAGTTGAGGTGGATAGGATTGATATTTCTTCAAAAAATCCACTGAAGCCTGATTATTCTTAAAATGTACTTGAAGACGATTTGATTTTGAATGTGATATAGGCCGGAAAGATTGTGAATATATGAAGTTTCCATAAATATTAGGTTTTGGTTGAGATGGGTAAGATGGCTTGAATTTCGATTGATAAAATGGATGAATATTCTGAGTTCCAGGAAAATACTGGGTTGGCTGAGGACGTAGTAGAAGCTGAGTAGGTTTTATCTCTGGCAGCAGATACCTATATTGATCCTTATTCAAAGGTAGGGTATTCTGGGGTTGTGATGATAACGGAGAAGTTTGGAATAGAAAATCTAATTGATTGATTCGGGATTTGAAATTCAGTTTATTAGGCGGAAACAGTATCGCTATCCGACTAGGAGAAAATTGTACCTGATTTTGATTGGTTGGAGTTTGTGATGATATCAGCTTTGGTAACGATTGTGAGTCTCTCTGATTAAGAGGGAATTTTAAAAGATTTTTGCCGAGTTGAAAATGTAATGGATTCTGAGTGGCTGTATTCGGTAACGATGTCTGAATACTTTGAGTTGGTAGATTTATATGAATAGGCTGAGGTTTAAACGGAGTCACTTTGAGTTGCTTCTGTGACGAAGTCGGGTTCGATGGGTGTTGAAATGAGTTCAGAGGGTTTTCATTCTGTGATGGAATTGGTGGTGATTGTAAGAAAGTCTGCTTAAGTTGAAACTGTAGTGCAGTTGGATTTAATGGAGTTTGAAAGAAGTTCTGAGTGAGTTGATTCTGTGTTGGAGTTGGATTTGATGTAGACTGTATGGAAGTCTGAATGAGTTGATTTTGTGTTGAAGATGGATTTAATGGAGACTGTATGTAGGTCTGAGTGAGTTGATTCTGTGTTGGAGTTGGATTTGACGGAAATTGTAAGGAAGTCTGAGTGAGTTGATTTTGTGTTGGAGTTGGATTTGACGGAGATTGTAAGGAAGTCTCAGTTAGTTGATTTTGAGTTGGAGTTGGATTTGATGGAGTTTGTAAGAAGTTCTGAGTGAGTTGATTCTGTGATGAAGTTGGATTTGACGGAGATTGTT